TTTATGTTGCAGTGTTTACCACTAAAGAGTGGAAAGTTAGGCAGCAAACTCTAAACACAGATGTAAACCCCACTGAAACCAGTATTTTGTTAACTGGTAATTCAAGCATTCAAAATTAAACCTACTAATATATTAATTACTTTCTAGTTATTTAGTAATTTTTTTTTAACTTTCAGGACATATATACTGTTGAAGAAATTCCTGTTGAAAGAGTTTTAGAACGGTCATTCTTACAATTTGTTCATGTGATTCATCCAAACAGGACTACTGCAGAAGAGTGTTCTCTAGATAAATATGATCATTAAAATTTAGACTTTTGCAATTAATGGAGTGTTTGTAACCTGCATGGACCTCCTTTTTTTCCTTCCTTAAGTGTTGGTTTGGTTTTAAATTATTTTTAAATTAAATTTTCATTTAAAAGTGTGGGGCATTTTTATAAGGATAAAAGAAAATATTGTCAGTTTCTCTAGCTAAAACACAGTGGTCTTGAAATCACTCCTGGTCCAACACACAGATACACTTGCTTTGACAGCATCCTCTCCTGTTTATTTGCAGCTCCATTCCAGGAGCAGGGTAATCATGTATATTGATGATGATAATGCAGTGGCGGAGGTAGATGACAAACAACAGCATTTCAGATGCTACGGGACCAAGCAAATTGGGACAAATGGCCCCTCAAAACAGTATCGGGAATACTACCTACTGCCAAGGGCTGCACATAAGTTTACATTTACAGTGCAAGATGAGACTCAAAGTAAGCAAAGTTGGTTAAGTGAAAGCCATCTAGAAAGGATAGCAAGAAGTGAATATTCTGTTTATGATAAGAAAAAATAGAACCCTGTTCAACAGAGCAGAATCTTTTACCTAACCTATATTCTTGCTATGTAAGTTAAAGAAATGTATGTATGTTTTTTCACATGTACAGCATAACATAGTATTTTTCAAAGATGCACTTGATCTGTAAGAAAATTCATGCATTGAAGCATATACAGCAGCTATTAAAGCAGCTTTACTCACATGGTAACAAGGAAACTCCCCAGTAGACTTTAGGTCTTGGAATCAGAAAGTGGCTCTTTTTTGGAAGAGAAAGATTCAGTGTGTCACGTGCCTGGGAAAGTTGTTTTCCTTTCTCTTTTAAAACTGCCTTTGGGAAAGAAAACTTGCACAGTCAGAAAGATGGACAATGATGCTCCAAAGGGTGTGATATGTGGGAACATTTGAGTAACTGAAAAAACCAAATCTAGTCTTCCAGAGTAAACTAGCCAAAACTATAGGGGAAAAGTTATTGGACTTATGACTTCCTGCACATCTAAAAGATGTATTGAGAACTTTTTACATGTATGATATAAGCTACCACTGTAGGACTGCTGTCCTAAGTTTTGTCTGTGGCTTTGTTCATAGAGATACACCTGACAAGAGCAAAAAAGATATCCTTCCTCTTGCTCATGGCACCTTCAGATCTGCCTGCAGTTACACAGCTTTCTCTCTCCCCTTCTCCTCACATCTATCTTTGACTGCTCCCACAGAACAAATCCCTGCCCTTTTCATATTGGCAAGGAGATGTGCTGTTCTTGCAGCAGCAACATTGTCAACAAAGCAAACAAAATAACAGTTGTACAAAATGTAGTTGTACAAAATTGTACGATAGCTGTGCAAAGGTGATGAAGAACGTACCTCTTGAGTGAGAGTTGCTCTCTGCAAACAGCAGAAGTTTATGAGCAGTTCTAAAAGTTTTCATTGTTGAGATTTCATTTCACAAACACATTTTATCATGAGGAATAAAAAGCTGGCAGGGCCACTGGTTTCATTTAATCTAAAAAGTCTGATTTAAAATGCTTTCCTTCCAAGAAATGAATTTAATAAACTTCAGCTGCCTGATTTCTCTTTATATGTTGTTTATGTGAATGGCATAAACTACACAAGATTTACAAGGCTGGTGCCATGTTCTGTATTGTTCCATGGTGCACTAGTTGTCAACTCCAAGGTCACAGCTTTATTAAAGGATTAAGATTTACAATAATGTTAACAACAGCATGAATGCCTTCACAGACACCTTCCTATGGTTTACTTCCCTGAGGTCATCTGCACAATTTCTCCCCCTGCCAAAGCTACTAATCAATAAATACTGAGGTCTCCCAAACAAAGTTCAAATGGATCTATTCTATTGCCTTAGTAATAAATCTTTGCTTTTTTTTAACATCTGCCTTCAAAAGACATAATCCTCTTTACCTGCAATAATTAATTTAACTTTATAACAGGCTTATTTGGTGATTAAAACCTGCTCCCTTTTTACAGATTGAGAAACTGCGGCATAAGGACATACTTTGCTGAAGTCATACAAGAAGACTGAAAAGACTCAGAAGCTTATCTCTGCTAGCCTCTTGTGTGCTGAAGCTGAAGGCCATGCTGCCTCTCTCCCAAAGAGTAACACAAGGTGCTGTGTAGCATCTGAACTGAGGGTTCAGTAATTGTTGCTTTTAATGTATTGGCACGGCACGGCTGGGGTGCACCTGAAGCTGATATACAGTTGTGGTGTGGTCCTAGCTGACACAAACACATACAAGAAACATTCTGCAGGCTGTTTACTGCTTAAGGTGTAGTTCTGTGTTTCTTCTGGCTGTATGTGTTGATGAGGCTACTGCCACCAACTGCCACTCACTACTCGTCAAGCCTACTCATATCTACCAGCCTGGCTTCCTGCTTCATTTCAGGGAAGAAGATATTCAATCACTTTAAATAGTAGAGGTATTTTGCCAGCCTATGAACAGCTCAGCAAACCCTCAGCAGCAGTGATGAGTGCAGGGGAGCAGTAACCTCCTGAGCTAGCACAGCCACAGTTACCAGAGGACATCTTTGCACAACACCTCAAATCCTAGGCCTGTCCTCTCTTGACCAGGAAGTTCTGTCTTTTCCACAGAATTTTCTCCTGACTTGAAGCATGGGCAGCAAATATCCCAGCCCAGGTGACCTAACTCACTTCGGGCGCAAGGCTTTGAATGTGCTTCCCTTCAGTGTTTCACATCTCCAGGTACCTAAAAGCATGCAAATTTTGTCTCTACATGGTCTAAAAAGAAGGTATTTAGGGCAGTCACTGCCTTTTGTTCTGCTGTCTCTGCTTTTCCTTAGAAGATACTAGCATTAATAGCTAATAGTAATTGACTGATACTGAACAAAAACGGAGGCAGCATCCTTTGCAGAATCAGAGGATTGTTAACCTCTCATACTTATCTGAAGAGAACTTAGCTTCAGCTTCACTCCCTGCAGTTCCTTCTCTCCCCTCCGAACCATGATCCCAGATGTGTTGTGGGCATTGCCTCTTGCTGCCGATCGCAGATGTCTGAAGCATTTAGACTCTCAGTTTTGAAATGCTGGAGGCTGAACGCCCATGTGATCCACAGGTATTAGTGTTTTGCACTCTCTCTTCCGCAAAACTCTAACTTCAGGCTAGAGAGAGTGGAGGATCTCCCCAGCTAGAGTTCTCTGAACAGCTATGGTACAGAGAGCTGCAGTCTCAAGGAAACAGGGGAAGCCAAAGTGAACATCCATTTCTTTTCATCCCTTTCTCTCATTGGAAGAGAAGTTGTGGATGCCTCATCCCTGGAAGTGTTCAAGGCCTAGTGAAAGGTGTCTCTGCCCATGGCAAGGGGGTTGGAACTAGATGATCTTTAAGGTCCCCTCTAACCCAAACCATTCTATGATTCTGTGATCTTTGATACAGTGCAAGAGATCAGGCCTAGCCTGAAGCTTAGATTTATTATAATTACAACCTTCACTAATTAATATAATTGATATACTTTCTACAAATCCATTTCTTCTTAAAGCATTTCCAACATTTTGTTTGTTGTTCATATGCCAAGAGTTACGTCCAAATGAGGTCAGTGCTAGATGTGCTTAACAGGTCCAAAGTCTCTTCTACCTGGAGAAATCTAAGCAGAAACTATACTGCTAGATCGAGATTCTTAAAATTCCTTATTCTGGAAGAAAAGCGCACAGTCAGAACGCTGGATATTTTCTTTTCTTCTTTTTTTTTTTTTTTTTTTTTTTTTTTTTTTTTTTTTTTGTACAGGATCATTCAGGAGGTGGAAATCTTGCCCCAAATATCAGTAATACTACGAAAACTACGGCATAAAATAACCGCGAGTACCAGGCACAGAATTAATTAGGTTGGAAAAGACATGTGAGATCAGCGATTCCAACACAGAACCGAACACCACCTTGTCCGCTAGACCATCACACTAAGTGCCCCATCCAGTCAGTCTTTCCTTAAACACCTCCAGGGATGGTGACTCCACCACCCACCCGGGACAGACCATTACAATGTCTAATCACCCTTTCTGGGAAGAAATTCTTCCTGTTGTCCCACCTGAACCTCCCCTGGCAGAGCGTGAGGCCATTTCCTCTCATTCTGTCGGTGGTTGCCTAGGAGAAGATATCGAAACCCACCCGGCTACAACCCTCGTTCAGGTAGTTTTAGAGTGATGAGATCTCCCCCGAGTTTCCTTTTCGCCAGGCTAAACAATCCCAGCTGCCTCAGCCGCTCCTCAGAGGACTTGTGCTCCAGCCCCTCCACCAGCTGTTATCTGGACGAGGCGATCTAGAAACAAAACAATAACAGGGCAGGCACGTTTTCTCTGTGCAGAAGACGACGGCGAACGCCGCTGTTTCGTCAGTCCCCAGCAGCCTCCGGCAGGCCCCGGGCGGGCGGCGGGGCGGGCGCAGCGCGCTGGGCGGAGCGGGGAATCCTCCCGGACCGGGCGGAGCAGGGGCCGCCCCGCCGTGTCGTAGCGGCGCCGCCGGGCCGGGAGGCGATCGCCATGGAAACCCCGGCCCCGCCCCTGCCCCCCCGGGTGCCGCCGGTAGAGCGGCCGGAGCTGCCGCGTCCCTCCTGCCCGAGCAGCGCCAGGTAGAGCTCGGGGCGGGGGCTCCCCCGGGCCGGGCGTGAGGAGGGTCGAGGGGCGGCTGTCGGAGGGCAGGCCGTTATCGCTCCGCTCCGCCGCCGCAGCCGCAGCCCGGACGGTATCCCACCCGGTATCCCACCCGGTGGCCGGTGCCCCCAGCGATCCGCCCCTGGGCCCCCGGCGGCGGCCCCCGGGAGCGGAGCCGGGCTCGCCTCAGTCCGCCGGGGCGGGGCTTGGCCCTCGTCCCCGCGCCTGCCGAAAGGGCCCTGACGTGTTGCCATGGCCGAGGGGGACGCGGCGGCCCCGGGCTGCTTCAGCGAGGATGATTTTTACTGCCCGGTGTGCCAGGAGGTGTTCAAAACGCCCGTGAGGACCGCCAACTGCCAGCACGTGTGGGTATCCCGGCCCCTCGGCCCTTCCCAAGCCTTTTCCTCGCCTCCTCCGGCTCTCCGCCCTGTGCGCCTCTGCTCCCCCCCAATCGGACCCTCGGCCTGTAGCCTCTGGCTGTGAGGATGACGAGTCCAGTGCTGCCCCAGCCTCCCGTCGCCTCTTTCCTTTGTAGCCGACGAGGACCGGTCACTGAGTAAAAGCCCCCGCGGCGGTCGGGTCGGTGGCGAGGGAGTTTCACTGCACCCTCTAACCTAACACGCGTTTTTTTCACTTCATGTTTTTCCTCGGTCCTTTTCGAACAAGGACGGTAGTATGAGTTGTTCTTTCTTTTCAGCTCGTCTATTCAGCATTTTTGTTTTCCAGCGGGACGCTTGATTACAACGTACTACTTCGTAGAAAAGCAAAATACTTTTGGCATCTGGTGCGTGAGGAAAGAGAGAGCTGCAAAAGCTGGTGGACTGAGGTCTCTGGAAACCCTTGCTGAAGAAAGCTTTGCAGTGTTTCTGGTTCTGCTTAAGGACAATAAACAGGAATTCCGCTGATAAGATTGGCCAATATAACGTGCTTGCTGCACAATTTAATATCTAATTAATGATCAGTCCGGTGTGCAGCCATACTAGTCAATAAATAATAAGAGCTTTACCGAAAGTGCATTGCCAAGTTCCCCTAATTTCCATATTCTTCTTCATAAGCACCATTGTTTCATTTTCCTTATAAAGATTTGTATTCAGTAGATCATTACTCTGATATATCTTTTTTTTCCTAACAATAACCTAGCTCTCTTCAAGGACAAAGTATCTGTTCAGTTTGCTAACCTTTGTTTGTGGTAACTTTTTAATTTAGGTTTTGCAGGAAGGGCTTCTTGACAGCTATAAGAGAAAGTGGAACACATTGTCCTCTCTGCCGGGGGAGCGTGACTAAAAAAGAAAGAACATATCCCAAAAGGGCTCTAGATTGTGAAAACCGTATGAAGAAAGCTTCTGGGGTCTGTAGATGCTGTGAGAAGAAGGTAGAGTAAAACTTTAAAAAAAAGTGGAATTAAATTTGCATATTTTTGTCCAGACACACTTTTAGTGTGTGCCATTCTTGTCTTGGTGCTAAAGAGCCTGTAGCATTTGGAACGTAGCTTTGTATGGCTTGTGCATATCGAAGGCATGCAGTGCCTAGCGATACCCAACAGATGTAAACTCAAAGAGGATCGTGAGTTTTCAGTAAAGGCATTTTTGGTGGAGTGCCAGTGTTTCCAAAAAAGAAATGGGAAAACTGGATGTAGCTATAAAACTGGCCAAAGAAAAGTTAGGGAGATGAACTTGAAAGTTGCAGATACGTGGAAAACCTCAGAAACTTTCAATATGGAGATGAAAGTGCTTAGAGCCTCTATAAAATTTAATTTAAAACAAATGGAAAAAGTGGCTTGATTACTTTCAGTGCACAGACAGTCATACCTAACTTCCTCCTTCCCCATCAGTCTTTTTACATTCCCTTTGTTTCTCTTGTCAAGGGGTCATAATTTGCAGAACATTAGGTGAAATCTTGGCACCCTCCCACACTCAATCCAAGAGTGATCTTTCTTCTGGTATAAATGAATGCAGAATTTCAGCCACACAGTTGGTTTATAACAAATTGCAGCGAACCCAGGTAGCCTTCAGGTTTGTTTCGTTTCACTTGGGACTTACTTCTACCATTGCGAAGATTAGTACTAGTGTAAACCTCATCTGCTTGCTTTGTTCCATGTGATTCATTGGGATGAAAAGCGGGGAGAAAGAAACTGATAGGAAGTTAGTAAACTGGAAGCAAGAACCAAGCAAGAATGTTAATGGAATTCAAGCACAGGCATGTGAGATATGATCTTGTTCAGCCTCTAAACCTGTGAGCACCTCCTGACAGTGCTTTTGGGCCTGAAATTCTGATTTAGGGCATGTCCAACCCAGCTGTCTTCTGACAAATCTAAGCAACTTGTTGGCTTACCTTGAATTAAAGGTGGATAAGCAGCATTAAGTTGGTGTTCATTCAACTATTTTTTTTCCTCCCCTCTAAAAGAGAAAAGGAATACACCTAATGCAAAAAAAAAATTAAAAAGTTCCTCTGCATTAGGTAACAGCAGACCAGAGAAGGATGAAGGAGCAGTGCTTCTTATCCCATCCTCATGGATCCGCTCATTGTAGCTCATCAGTTATTGATCCTGGACCTGGGAGTTGTAGTTTCAGTGACTTTGTTTCAGTTAAATGGCATTTATTCACATCTGTCACCCCTGAGAGAGCCCTCAAATGCCTGGTGGAGTGGGGAGTGGAGAGCTGCAGTGTTCTCCAGTCTCACAGAGTGACAGAGGCTCGAAGCAAAGAGGCATCACAGATGTCCTGTTGGTGGAGAAAGGGTTCATGCGCAGAGGGGAGACACAAGTTCTGGTTTCTGCTGCATATGATATCTACAAAATTCCTGCATGCCGTGCTTTCTGTTGGCAGAATTACCTCTTCCTTCTATCCTTGGATTTTTCAGTATGATTTCAGTAAGTTGGCATTTCATTTTCAGGTTAGATTTTCGGGGATGAGACAGCATTATAAAACCTGTAAGAAGTATCAGGATGAAGAGGGTGTTTCTTCAAGTATTCCAAACTTACAGATTTCCCAAGATTCAACAGGGAACAGGTAATCAGGGTGTTCTGTATATAACAGTTCATCTTCGGCTTTCCCCACCCCTCTGCCCATGGAAATAATAAGATAAAAAAAAATAAATAATTAAAAAATTAAATTAAAATAAAAAAAAAAAAAAAAATTAAAAATTTTTTCCAGGGAATTCCTGCTTTTTGCAGTAATAATTGTCCATATTTTTATGTTTCAAGTATGAGTTTGTCCCAGTCTTTTGCTTTACTCTTAGCAGACAGAAGAAAACCTTTCTGCATGATGGCCTTGGAATGTCGGGTAGAGACTCTCCTAACAAGTATTTGGTATTTGTAGCTTGCTTTCCTTGCCTTGACAGCATTTGAGCAGCTTACGTTGTAACATCGTTCATAATATTTACCTCCGGGGAAGTTCCTGTCTATGTTTATTCCCCCTCACCTTCCTAAGTTGGTTTTAGTGGCGATCCGGTTTCAAAACATTACTGTGCAAGATTTTGCTTTCGGATTGAATTTGCTTTGACTAGATCTCTTATGAAATGTGTAAGGAACTCCAGTATGTTACACACCATAAAATCAAATGACACCACTTGTGTTCAGGCAGTAAAACTAAAGAACTTTTTTTTTCATACATTCTCACTGATGGATGAGGTTGTTGATTTTGGGTTATTTTCGAAGAAGCTTTTTTACATGCTAGTTTTACAGAGCTTTTTAATATATATCCTGTCCGTTATTTACTTTATTTTGCCATCAATTTTCAATTTTTAGCAGTCGGAACTTCTCTGGTTTTTAACCCATCAGTATATTGGAAGTCGAAGCTCGTACCAAAATTAGCTGCAGCAATGTGTCGGCCAAGTGTGTGGATATTCTTATATCACTTTTTATTGAGTATGCAACAGTAGAATACCCATGCATAGAATATCACAGATATATAAAAAAATTTACCATGACCTAATCGGTAACTGTAAATAGTGATATTCTTAGTAGGATCCACAGGTTTGGACAGTTTCTTCTGGCTTAGCGAGAGGTGCATATACAGTCAAAGTTACTTTCTAAAATGTTCCTCTCTGTTACTTTTACTTTAGAAAATAAGTTTGTTTGGTGCTCAGTATAAGAAAACTTTCCTTGTTGTAGTTGAAAGTTGTAAATTATTTCTGTAAACACATGGCAGTTAAATCTTAAGGCAAAAAACTTAGAAAGTGCTACCTGTCTTACATTCCTGTAGTTAATAATGGTGTTTGAGTTACTTGGCTGTCATTCCATTACCGTTCTTGTTGACTAAATGTTTGTTGTATTAGATACCATGTTCTTGTAAAGCTGCGTGATAATCCACTGAGGATCACCATGGTAACTAAATTATACATGCAAATGTGATACCAGTCTACAAGAAGGATCAGTAGAACGATCCAGGGAGCTACAAGCCTGTCAGACTGACCTCGGTGCTGGGGAAGGTCATGAATCAGATCAGCCTGAGTGCCATCATGTGGCACGTGCAGGACAACCAGGGGATCAGACCCAGCCAACACGGGTTTACGAACGTCAGGTGCAGCTTGAGCAACCTGATCTCCTGCTGTGACAAAGTGACCCTTAGTGGATGAGGGAAAGGCTGTGGATGTTTTCTGTCTAGGCTTCAGTAAAGCATTTGACACTGGCTCCCACATAACTCTCCTGGAGAAGCTGGCAGCCTATGGCTTGGACAGGTGAACTGTCCTCTGGGTAAGAAAAGACTGCCTGGATGGCTGGGCCCAGAGTGTAGTGGCATCCAGTTGGCAGCTGGTCACTAGTGGTGTTCCTCAGGGATCAGTTTGGGGCCAGTCCTTTATTGATGATTTGGATGAGGGGATTGAGTGCACCCTCAGTCAGTTTGCAGATGACACCGAGTTCGGTGGGAGTGTTGATCTGCTGGAGGGTAGAAAGACCTTGCAGAGAGACCATGACAGATTGGATTGATGGGCGGAGGACAAACTGCATAAGGTTCAACAGGATGAAGTGCCAGGTGCTGCAGTTGAGTCACAACAGCCCTGGCCCCTGCTACAGGTGTGGGGAAGAGTGTATGTAAAGATGCCTGGAGGAAAGGGACTTAGGTGCTGGTCAACAGCCAGCTGAACATGAGCCAGCAGTGTGCCCAGGTGGCCAAGAAGGCCAGTGGCATCCTGATGTGCATCAGCAATAGTGTGGCCAGCAGGACTAGGGAAGTGATTTTCCCACTGTGCTCAGCACTTGTGAGGCCGCACCTGGAATCCTTTGTTCAGTTTTGGTCCCCTCACTACAAGAAGGACATTGAGGTGCTGGAGCGTGTCCAGAGAAGAGCAGTGAAGCTGGCGAAGGGTCTGGAGCACAAGTCCTATGAGGAGTGGCTGAGGGAGCTGGGGTTGTTTATCCTGTAGAAAAGCAGGCTCAAGTGGGACCTCATTGCTCTCCAGAATTACCCAAGAGGAGGTTGCAGTGAGATGGGGGCTGGCCTCTTCTGCCACGTCGCAAGTGAAAGGACAAGAGGAAGTGGCCTTAAGTTGTATCAGGGAAAGTTCAGATCAGATACTAGAAAATTTTTTTTTCCACTGAGGAGTGGCTAGGCATGGGAATAATTTGCCCAGGGAGGTGGTGGAGTTGCCGTTTCCGGAAGTGTTCAAGAGGTGTCTGAATATGCGTCATGTGGGGATATGGTTTAGGGTTGATTATGGTGGTGCTGAGTTGACAGTTGGACTAGATAATCTTGAAGGTCTCTTCCCACCTTGATGATTCTGTGATTCTGTAAATATATTCTGGACGTGTCTTGATCTAAAGGAAAAGTTGTGAAAGTTAAAATATGTGCACTGTATGTTGATTTGACATTTATGGGACTTGATGGATTTTTTCCTCTCCCTCCCCCGTTACAGTTAAATTTTAAAAAATTTTGATAGTGGAGTAAAATACTCTCAATTTTCATTGCTGTTTTTTTTTTCTTTATTTAAAGTAGCAGGAGTGATGCAATATCTGATAATGGCGAGATGGCTAATAGTCAAATACTTCAAGGAGAAACAAGGTAGGCTGCTTATTTCCCTATAGCTGTTACTAAAGTAGATCCAGATAGTCACAGTTCAAGCTTCTGCTGACTTAAAAACAAAAAACCCCTCCAGAAACACCTTCAAGAAGTTGTTTTAAAAAAATGCTGTAGTTTCTTCTACATTTGCATGTATACATTAGAAATTGGTTTTTTTTAGTACTTTCTGGAAGGATTTGCACTAAAAGATCTTATCAGAAAGTAAGAACAGCATGTAGCTGCAATTGGAACAAAAGAATTTTGGAACAAAAGAAGCCCAGTTCTAAGAAGAATGCACTTAGACATACAAATTATAAATGTACCTTAAAATTGCAATTTGGAAGTAGCAGTGGTGCTGCGTTAGATCTGCTGCTGTGTCAGTGAGGATGTGGGGGTTTTTTTGTTGTTTTTATCAAAACAAGGGAAGACAATTAGGAGATAACGGATGAATTAAGCTCTCTGTAACACTGCTTCTAAAACTCTCTTTTCTTTTTAATACTGTGTATTTCTGTTTACAGTGGACACCCAACCTTCAAATGCCCCCTGTGTCAGGAAGCCAATTTTACCAGACAGCGCTTGCTGGATCACTGTAATAATAGACATCTTTATCAGATGGTTCCCGTGGTAAGTGGAGTTGCTTATGTATGTTTCTTAAGCTATTTTCGTTATAATTATGTGGACAATTTTAAATGTGCAGTAGCTACTCTATATCTGTAACAATCACTGTGGTCTGAGAAAGACAATATACTTCATACAGTGCATTTGTCTTGAGGAGTAACTTTTACATGAAAACATTTCATGTCCAGCCTGGTGGTCCTAAGGCATTTCTGACTCAACTGTCTCATTTATCTTGATGTGAAACAAGCTCAGTTTTTGAGCCTGACACTTAACTCTTTTTAATTTAGTATTTCAGATCTGTTTCTATAGAATCCCATATTTAACGTAACTATTGTTTCATGGCAAACCTGCAGTTACTTGGAAAGTAATCTAAGATGTAATCAAAGGGTCTGAAGGAGAAAAATGTGTTTGGTTTTCTGCTTGATCAGCTCAATTGTATGAAAATTCTCCCAAAGAATAAGTAGGATGCAGTAATCACTTTCTTTTCTAAACTGACTTGAATGTTGGATGGACATGATAATCTGCCATCCCTAAGAGAAACACTTCAGAAATCCAGCAAGTTGAAATATACGTTTTGAATGTTACGCAGTTGAGGAAAAACACTCTTGAGAACTATGATTTGATGTTAACATCTCTATTTTGGTAGTGGATGAGTAATAAACTAGTTATTCTTGTAGAGCATGTCTTTAATGCATTCTGTATTACCAATAACCTTTTTTTTTTTTATTCTCTCTTTCTCCTCCTCCTCCCAATACAGATCTGTCCTATTTGTGTATCTCTTCCTTGGGCAGATACTAACCAGGTTACTAGAAATCTTGTTGGCCATCTAAATCTAAGACACCGGTTTGATTATGGAGAATTTGTGGTAAGCTTTTCTTCTTTGATGTGTAGAGGAATAAATGGTAACTTTTTTTTTCTATAAATAAAAATGCTGAATAAAAAATTTGTACCAGACTTGTGCTCTGGACATGCTATGTTCCTGCTTTGTATGGAACTCAGAAGTAGACCTGTCTGTTCTTAAACTTTCTACTCTCAACATGAAGTGCTACTGGGAATAGTTAAATTGCCCCAAACTGACTTAAACCTTTATCTTAGTATTCTCAATGTGGACAATTTATTACTTTTACTGTGTTTATTAGAACAGTTTATTGCTGCTGCTTCTAGGGAAAGTAAAATAGATGCTACTCTGTTTTATTGACATTATTGACCCTTTATGACAGAAATTGCTAAATAATAATCTCAGGACTCAAAGTGCAGCTTGACTAGCTGGTATTGCTGCTACAGCCTCTCTTCCGGTATGTCGTGAGAGAGACTGAAAAGAGATGTGTCATTAAGTTGGTGTTCAGGTTGCCTCCTTTCAGGCTGTCTTTGAGTAAATGACCTTGGAGTAGATGCGGAACTACATACACAGATATAGTCAGTGGTTGGTTCCTAAGTCAAGTCAACCTGTTGGCTTGTGGGTTCAGAAAGCTGGAGAGTTTGAGTTGTAGTTTCTGTAGAGTTTGACAGGCCTTGGGGTATGCTCATTAAGCTTTGTGTGGGACAGGCATAGTATTTGAGGCATAAGCAGCCTCAATGGTTCAAGATGGCAAAGATGATATATATTATTCTCTGAGTTCAGTGATCTGTGATAAAGACCTGAAGAGCTAGGAGTTTAATACAGGCAATTAGGCTCTTTACTGTGAGTCCATCTTGCATGTTTGATGATGTAAAACTGGTGATAGGAATTCTGATTTGGGGAAACTGCCAGAATTGCACTAAAAAGATGTATTACTCTGGCATATTAGCAACCTGGAAGATAGCTTTGGAAAAGTAGCAGGATTAAACACACCTCTTTTGTGATATGTGTTTGCTTTCTCATTTTAAGCAGTATATTCTCAACAATCTATGATTACTGTTGTCTGGGGATCACATTTTGTTTTCATTAATGGAGAATGTTATGGCTGGTTAGAAGCCCTGCTATAAGAATTGCATGACACAGTCAGCTTTCCTGAGCTGGCTGTTCCATAATGGAGTTGAACCAGGGAGAGAAGATGGACCCTTCTGCTTAATGAGCCTTGTCCCACTCATCTGATTCTTCTCCTGTCTCAAGTGTCTCTTGGTATTTGGTTCAATAAAAGATACTGTGCAACAGAAACAATCATCTAGTACACATAAAGATGAAGAGTCTTCATCTAGGTGCCAATTCCTTTGTAAAAATGTGGAAGAGGAATAATTAAACTAATGATTGTGGTACATCTTGAGTTTTTGTCCATTTTGATGATGTTTTCATTTTGTTTAGAATCTTCAGCTTGATGAAGAAGCCCAATACCAAAATGCAGTTCAGGAATCCTGTCATGTGAACTTTTAAAGCAGAGCCCCTTCCATCTTACTGATCATCTGCGAGAAAAATTACTTCTGTTGGTGATCTGAAGTGTATATTAATAAAAATGGTATTCAGTAACTACTTTTCAGGCTAAACTTTTTTTCACACTTACAAGGACTTTCGATAAATGATTTTGCTGAAACTCAAGCTTGACATCTTTACCGAGATCTGTCCCTGTGGAATTAGGGACCTTTTTGGAACTTCTCACTCTTGTCTTGATTTCCTCTAACCTTTACTACTCTGTTAATTACATAGTTTCTATGATTAATGTAGGATATTTTAATTCACCAAAAACAACTTTGAAAGTATCTTTAGAAAGATATCAAGGATGCTCTGTTGCACTGTTGAGTTTGTTTAAGTTAGCTGTCTTCTAAGGTATCTATGAGATAATAATTTATTTTTTTTCTTTTCCTGCCAAGGACAAATTTTATTTGATGTTGTGCTTAATTTTTTACTGTTGCTATGTGACTGAAAATAACAACAGCTTAAAAAATTAATATATTTCTTTTCTACAGATTAACAATGCAGAGCAGGGCTTCTTTCACCTTTCATTGAGAAAGAATGATGCCATTGCCTATGAATAATTACATCTATTTTTTCCGCTTCTGGAGCATAACTGAAATAGAATGCTTGCTTACTAATGTGATGAGTGTGGAGTATTCCTAATACTCCCAACTGCTAAGGAAGATGACATATTTTCTGAGCGATTTTGATGACATAATTTCTGAGCAAAGATGACATGCAGAAGTTAAACTCTTTTGGCCTCTGACTGTGGTCAGATAGTTTTTCATTTTGTTGGAGCTTTTTAAGAACTCCTGTTGTTGCATTTGGAATTGAATTTTTGCTTTGTCCTGTCTTTCATGGAAGGTTGTGGAGCTAAATAACTAATTGGCTTCACACCTACCAACGCTCAGAAGCAAACTTGTTTATTTTGACAAAGCTGTTTAAAACTTGTACATCTCCTGCATCTGAAGGCTTGAGAAAACAGTTCAGAAGAAAAGACTTGCTCTAAAATAGTTACCAACACAGTTTAAGAGCTCCTATTTTAGATTTCCACATTCCCAGCAAGACCATTGTTAAAATCGGAGAAAATAGAGCAATAATGCAATTTTGACTTTAAATGAAAAATTCATTTGTAAAAGAGTTCTAAGATCTTTTATTTAATACTAAAGGGGAGGAGAGGAAAGAAGGTTGCACAACATACATTATGGAGGTTTAAACAGAGACTGTTCTGAACATATACCATTTAGGTATAGGACTCTTTATCCTGTGTTGCCATCTCCCATTGTCAAGCTATTGTTCTTATTGAGTGTTGCATATGTAGTGGAAAACATCCCCAGTAATTTTCTTAGTCTAGTTGGTGATTTATGTGTAGTAATCAATTGTGCAACCAAAGTACAATCTGTTTCTTATGCCCTGCCTCCCATTTGGGCTCCAAACAGAGGTTTTGATTATTCTTTAAATGCTGGGATATTTCATATTCCAAAACTGGTAATGTTGAAATGCCTCATTCTGCAATGTACTGGGTTTCAGAACTGAATCTTAGTTCTACTTTATTGAGTGTTGGAACTAAACCAGAATACGTTGTAACTTGACTTTTCTAGCTTACATTTAAGAGTGTAAAACATTCCTGAAGGCATTGCTGGCCGAAGTACAGAGAAAGTTGTCCATTTCAGAAATGGCTGAATGTTATATCCTTTTTATAACGACCTAAAAGTTCTTGCATTTTGTTACCATCTTACTGCAGTATTTTGACAGCACACCACACTTTGATGTTGTATTCCAACTTCCTATTTGCCCCCATACTCTTGTCTGTGTATTCTCACTTGTCTGTCAGCTCTAGTGCTTGTGTGACCACTTGAAGTGGTTCACTGATCCAACAGGAAAGATTATTTAGATTTTTACTTTTGCTCTGTAAAGCCAACTACGAGACAGTGCCTGTGAGACAGAAATGAAGTTCAAGGTAGCCTGATGCTAAAGTTTTACCTTTTTGAAGTAAAAATACATACTGTGGTGATTTATTACTGCATACATTTCCTAAGGAGTTTTAACAGTTACATATAAGTTTAGTTAATGTTTTTAGTTTCGATAAAATATTTATATGATCTGGCAATAAATGCCTACAGCCAATACAGATTCTGAATGCCTCATGGACACTGGAACTAGTTATTTTTATTACTTGAATATATCTTGAGAATTGCAAATTAAATGACATCTGTTTTAAAACTCTGGGAAGCAATTTTTTATAGCAATAATTAGTTGTCACTTGATGAGTAGTTGCTGAGCATTTTAGTCATGTTTAAATGTTGAGAGACTTAAATACACATTTTAAAGCAACAAATGTGTATTAAAGCAATATAAAGAAAAACCCTTGCAAAATGTTTATCCTCTTTATTTAAAATCTGTATTGGCAGGCGCGGCCTTGCTTAGGATTTTGTACTTTTAATATGAAGAGATTGCATCCAATACATTCACTAGGTAAGCGTTTAATGAAAATTAAACTATTTAAATATGTTCCTACTGGTCATGATCTTTCTCACTGAAACTCAGACATGCACAAAAAGCTGTGTATATGTGATGGGTGATGCTCAGAACATGCGATCTTTACTAGAAGATTGCTGTTAAACAATGTTTTCATGTTCATGTTGCATTATGTATGGTTTCAATATGTTATTATGTTTGAGTTGTACCTTCTGTTTTTCTCCTATTAAAGTATTTTATTTTCTGTTTGTCTTTTTGTTGCATAATAAAGATGATCAGTTCCCTTGGTGCTACTTCTTCCTTTTCAGCTGCTTTCTCAAACTTCAATATGTGGTCAGTTGTATGCCTTCACAATGTGAATTATTGGAATGACATGTGTCCCCTGGAACTGATGAGCTGTGACTCATCATCCATCTGTGAGCTGACAAGTTACCTTATATCATATCTTAGGCATTTCCAGAAAGCAGAAAAAAAGATAAGTTGGCCAAAATTTACTTTTTGCTTCTTTTCTCCCTTCCATGTTTGTATGTTGCTGTCCCATGTCATGTTAATAGAGAAATAATGAGAAATAACAAAAGGAGAGGGAAAGAGGTATGTAGAACTTGGGGCCATTAGCAAACCTTGTTATTTAAAGGTAGATTTACTGAGAAGAGTTAATGCTTTTCTGAGGAAAGAATTGTCAGTAAGTTTGGACTGGTTGCAAGATGGCAGCTAGATGATTTATCCTTCTGCCCTGTGTTTTTGAGCTGAAAAACCCTTTGGTTACTTCTTGTGCTTTTACATTCTAAGGACATACAGATGATACTACAGTTATGAAATTGATTTAATGTGTTATTTTGAATGACAGAAGTGTAACAAAGTTACATAAACTTCCTTTTTGTTAGTTTATTCTTTCCCCATAGAATCTAATTTTGTGATCTCTAAGTAAACCACTCTATCCCCTAAATCTGTTTATAAACGCTTTGTTAGAGATTTTATTTTATTTTACTACAGCAATTCATATTTCATTACTTAGAGAGAATGCACTCCATGTGTTTAGTTCTCATTGGCAATATCTGAGTTATAGGATACTTGAGCTCTGTAAAACTGCCCTTTGTCCTGCTCCAGTCTGAAACCAGGGCTTTATTCCCAGGGAAAGAGTGGGACTTTTGTGCACCCAGGTCATCTTCTGACAGGTAGTCAGGGCTAGAAGGTTTTCTGTATTTGGGAAGCATTCCTGGGTCCTCCTTTTTAAATTTAGCTTTTCAGTCTAGTGAGATTTGCATACGAGTGTCCGTGAGGACTCTGCTGTGAAAGAGTCTGGGTAGTGTATTTTTTATATCCTTTATTTTATGCAGAAACAGACACCGATTCGTGGACACTGTTAAGAGAGAGATGTGCACTTTGCCATGTCTGGTAAACACTGTGCCATTTGTGAAATGACTGCAGTACCTGGCAGCCAAGGTTGGTTTATTGCAGGCAAGGAGAGCTACAAGAATATTTGATAAAAGCATCTTCAAGTTTCTTCTAGAATTGGAGAAACGCAATGAAAGGGCACAAAAACTACTTGATCTGTACAGTGTACATTTGCTTTAGAGATCAGATTTCTTTTGTGTGTGTTGTGGCTGTGTTTGAAAACACATAGGGGTCAGGATTCAGGGTGCCTGCAATGAGAAGGCTTTTCAATAATGTTAATACTGCCCCTTCCCAGTGAATTACCAGAGCAAAGCATGGACTTTCTTCTTTCACGAATAAAGTAGGTCTGTACCGTTTCTTATATTTCTCAAACTCTAGGTCTGCTTTGGGAAGGACCAGTTTTCACCTCTTCATTTTCTAACTCTAACCAGCCTTATTCTATCTGTAACATTTTTTTTCCCCCTAGTCATGTATCTCTATTTTTATGGACATGACAAGGAAAGAGCTAGGAAAGTGAATTTTATGTTTATTCCCCCACCATTCCGCAAACTGTTAGGAAATTGCACTGAGGAAGTCATCACTGCCACATGCATTCTATGGAAAGCATCTAATTCTGTTTTAAATCTGTGCCTTAAGTACTCCGTATACATTTAGGATTCATTCTTCAGCTCTGTGAAACTGTAGGTTATTTCCCAGGGCTAAGAATACTGTTTTTATGGGGATGCCTAGTCACTGGGAAATGTACTCCTCTCTATTACTTTACATTTTTTCTCTACTGTTGTGTTTCTGTCTCTTTTTTTCATAGAATGACTCGTGTTGGAAAGGATCATCCGATTCCAACCCCTTACCGTGGGCAGGGACACCTTCCACTAGACCAGGTTGCTCAGAGCTGCATCCAGCTTGGCCTTGAACACTTCCAGGGATGGGGCATCCGCAGCTGCACTGGGCAACTTGTTCCAGTGTCTCACCACCTGTTTTCCTCTCTGTGCATTTCCCTGCAGCAGTTCTCCTAAATTTACACTGTGTGTTTCCCTCCCACTCTCTTTTCTGTCTTTTAAAGCAGTCAGCAATTAAATCAGTACGATTATATTGGCTACTAATTATTGTTTCATATTCTGTATGTTTTATAAGCTCCTCCGGCTGTGCCCTTAATATGGGGCTGGTGTGGGCCTCGGGGGTAAATACAGTAACTAAGAAGCTTAGCACCAATAATTTCCAGAGTTCTCCAGACATGTTTACTTCTATGGCTGGAGGAGTTTATATTTCTCAGAATGTGTTTGCACTTGGAAAGAATCTGGAAGTCCTACCAGACAGATCTTACTGCTTTTAAATGCATTTTAAAGCATTTACTTCGTTGTTTTCTTTAGGAGGAGGATCTGTTTTTGGATTGAAGAGATTAGGATGCGGTTTAAAATTAAAAACATCTCACAAAGACCAGTTCTTTAATGGTAACAGCACTTTCTGTGGTGGCCCCAGTGCTATAGAGGGTGAGATTCAGGTGCCACCTCGGTTGTGAGACTGATCAAACCTGAGTATTTTCTTTCATGAATTTTCCTTCTTTCATAATTCAAACCACAAGAGGGCACTGAATATTCTTGGGAACTCTAAATAAGTATTTAAGGGTGATAATTCACTAAGTAGTTGTACTCCGAGACACTATTAGATATGGGGTTTCTATCCAGATGTTCAATAAATCTTTTATGATATTTTTTGGGTTAAGGGTCTGGCTGGGCTCATTCCAATCTAGAGAAAGAGAATATTTCTAACTTTAGAACGTCAGACTTACATATTTACTTCTGTGCTTTATGATCTGTGGCAAGTAAACAGTGTTCCTCCAGAACTCCACGCTGGGAAGAACGGAGTGCTCCCCAGTTCACGAGTGAACGTAAAATGTTACACGTTCGTGCATTTGGTTGCTAGACCTTTCCTTCCCCAAGGGCGTTCTCCAGTGGTCTTTAAAGCTAAGGCGCTGTAGTGCAGACGGGAGTCACAGGGGGGCAGCTGAGGACTGATGGATTCTGTGAGAGCTACAACGGGGGTAGTGCTGATTTTTGAGTTCTTGCTTTCTGAAACTGCACACGTCATCGCCCTCGCTAATTCCCTCTGCTGCGGTGGTGAGGTCCACCCGGTGCCCAGTACAGGTGTGCGTCCTTATCTATTCACGATAGTTCGGGGTTGCTACAGTTCTCGGGTATGAAGAGAGGAATTCTAATAGCTAAGGCTTATCTCTGTGATCTGGCAAAGAGCTAAGTATCCCTAGAGTACGTTTCTGCAGTGGCATGATATTTAGTGGCCAGCTACAGCCACCTTAGTAGCTGCCTGTCAGTGGCAGCTTGTTTCACGCTGTAATCTGATTCATATTTACTGTGAAATATGTTTGTGTAAAAACATGTCAGACGTGATTCAGATCCCTGTGAGAGGGAGAGAGGTGTAATCCTGTATGACTAGTTATTTAATTTATGAGATATTGTTTTCTCACGCACACACACAAAATAATGATTAAAGTATGTCTGAAGTGGCAGTGGGCAGAATGGTATGCAATGTTATACCCAAACTTCTGCTGTTTGCTTTTCAACCTTGCTTTTTAATTTAGCTGTAGTTAAGCAATGTGAAAAAACTGAAGGTCTGCTTCATTTTTTTTAATAAACTCTCAGTCAAAGCAAACCTGTCTTATTTGCTCCTCTGCAAGTAGATGGAACACTTGTATTTGATATCTGGTGTAATTTTCACTTTCTTACACGTCCCACATGACACTTGCTAGGTTTGTAAACATTGGAGTTTTCTAACTTGAAATATTCAGCTGTTCAACTTGAAGCACTTTGGATTTGGTTGAGGGTCACTTATCTTGCAGATTTATCTAACAACTCTTATCTTCATTGGTGCTTTTGCCTCATCAGCCAAAGAGATACTATTACAGTGTTATCTTGGTTTGGGAGATAACTGAAAAAGTGAAACTAATTTGTGTAAGATAAAGCAGAAAGCTTGAGACAGGGCAAGGACAATCCACTATCTGAGAGTACTAGACCATCTGAATATCCTCCTACTCTTTCACATTTGGTCTGTATGCACTTCTGAGCGGAATACGTAATGTTCTCCAAAACAGCACTTTTCATATTATGTAATGAATTCATATCACTTGAAGCTGACACTGAGATTTATAATCAGACAGGATCCACCTAAATGTCAACGAGCAACCATGAATCACCTTTGTTTGCTGAGCAGTATACAGATAGTACAATTACCAAAGCATTTGTGCTGACTTACAGAACATTAATAAAACTATTCAAATATGAAAATACCTACCAAAAATTCTAAAAAATCACTGTATGTATAGAACTAATTTTACTTGGGTTTATGAAACCATGTAGTTAGCTAGTACTGTGTTTTGAAATTACGTTCTTTTGGCTTTTAAAAGAGCATTCTTGCCCTTCTATACTTTGCTCGTTTTTCCCAGTCTCTCTGTACTCATTACTGTCTCTTCCCAGATTATTACCCACAGATGTAGCTTTACAAAGAAGAGTAAAACAAGTGATGTTTGCCAGTTCTACTGGATGATGCCTGAGTAATGTTCCTTCTTCTGAAGCAAGGCAGGGGGAAAGTACTGCAGTCTCTTTATTACCTGTGCTGTGGTAGTACCCACAGGCAACAGTGCTACTAGGAAGGCATGAAGAGACGGTGCCTGTCCAGGGGAATGTGCAGTCAGCTCTGTGGTGCTCTCCATCTGTCTGGTGCTCGCAAAGTGAACTCAGCAGGAGATCCAAGCGGTCACTGCAGTGGATCTGCAGCAAGCTCCACAACACGTTCTGATGTCTTTCCTTTTCATTGTTTCTACTAGCAGCATGTGAGCCTATGGAGAAAGAAATGTAATTGACTGTCAAGAGCTCAGATTTTGC